GTGGCCTGAATAGGTGGTGTGAATGGAGGCAGTGGATCCCCGAGGGTGGGGGCAGAGCAGGGCACTTCCTCAGGGTCAGCAGGGTTGTGGAGTCTGCCTGAGATCCCATATAGCAATGGTAGCAGGCCCGGCCCAGGGGTGCTACCATAAAGCAGTTACCTCAGTACAGAGGGTGTCTGTGGCACAAGGATGGTTCATGCCTCCCTGGTACTCTTCAGTGAATGCCAGTTTGCATGGAGATATGCCCATCATGGTAACCCAAGTGGTTTGGGGAAACTAGACTGACAGTCCTGACTTCACTTAGCCTGAGGAAATTGAGCTAGGAAGCTGACAGCAATCAAGCAGTAATGAGGGTGGCCCAGGATTGTTGTCATTTATCCAGCAGTGCTCACTCATCTGCAGCAGTGCTTTTGGCTGCCTCCCATGTCCAGCCCAGCAGAGAAAGCTGTGTCCTCAATAAACAGGAATTGGTGAGGGAAAAGAAAACCAAAACCCAGTGCAGTGTCCCCTTCCACTTACTAGGTCGCTGTGACCAAAACAGGGACAATAGACAATGACCATAAAGTGGTGAGCAGCTATGGAGAACCATCTGATGGCTCCTGAAAGGAGCCTGGACACCTCCTTTAGATGGGGACCCAGGAGAAATGATGCTCACAGTGCTCATTTGCAGCTGAGCGGTAGGAACAGCCCAGTGTCATGGAGGGACATGTCGCAAGGTACACTATATGCCAAGATGTCACTAGGCCCTGACACTTGCAACAGTGTGGGTGGACCTTGAGGTTGCCGTGCTCAGTGAAAAACACCAGGCACAAGAGAGCATATGGCTTTGGCTCCCCAGACAGGAAACTCCCAGGACAGGCAATGCCAGAGACAGGACATAAAAGTGATGGTTTTTGTGAATTTTGAGGCTTGTGGTTTTCAGTCTCGCACCGTGCTGTTCGTTCCACGGAGGTGGTGTTCACTGCCAAATTCTTCTCACAGTGGCCAATCTGTAGCTGTTACTAGCAAGAGTGTAAGTGCCTCCTGCGCTAGCGAATGCGTCTACTGGAAGGAATGAATTAGTATTGGTTCTTTGTGCTTCTCATGAAGTGGTGGCCAAAGCCCTGAGCACAGGTTTTTCTTCCTCGGTGAGGGGACCCAGGAGGTTCCCTCAACTCTTTTATTTGAGGCAGGGCCTCACTAAGTTGTACAGGCCGGCCTCAAACTCAGTCCTGCATCAGACCCCTGGCTACCTGGGATGACAGACATGTGCTACCCCAGCTGGCCTGAGACTATATCTACATTCAGTCTGCGATACTTCTTTTCCTGCATTGGTGAGGTCCAGAGCAGCAGGCCGGGCTGACATGTTGGCAATTTCTGAGGTGTGGATTCTCTGCCGTGACTGATTTTTTTTTTTTTTTTTTTTCTCGTGTATTTAGTATAGGGTCTCACTACATAGATCAAACTTGCAGTGATCCTCCTGTTTTCAACCTCCCCAGCGCAAGGATTATAGACTGGTACCACCATGCGCAGCCTCAGTCACTGTCTCATTATGTCCCCGGGACAGGCCAGAGGCCTGCCAGGGACCAAACCCTGGTCCCTTTGGCTTTAGTCCACTGAGCTGGCTGGCTGGCCCTGCCATGGCTGATCTTAAGGATGTCCCTGAGCTACCAGGGATTTTCGGGGCTCCATTCTTCAGGACACTATGGAAAAATGTTCCCACAGCCTGGATGACAGTGGGGCACAGCCAACTCCTGGAAGCCGTACACTGAGCAATACCAACCACCTCATCTCGGCTGTGATTTAGAGATTAAATTTTCAGCAGTGACGTTGCACAGGTGGTTCCCACTCTGCAATCCCCTCCCACCATGTGTACTCACAGGACAGGGTGACAAGAGACACTGTAGGCAAGGGCTGTGTCTATCCCTGTGGCCTGGTTGGCCATGATGGGGACAGGCTGCTTCCCTGATTGGCAAGAGGAAGCCATGGAAGTAATATGGATGGGGGGGTGCTGGGTTGGCCCTTGAAGCCACAGGACAGGAGGCTGGGTGTGTCCACAGCTACCCCAAGCTGTGCCACCCAGCAGACCTGGTCCCAGGCACTTTTGTCACCACTGTCTTGGCCTCTGTGAAGGCACTCAAAAGTGTGCCTTCATTTACACTAAGGCCCCAAAGCCCTCTATGGAGAGACCTCCACTCTATCCCTTCTTTTTTTTTTTTTTTTTTTTTTTTTTTTTTTTTTTTTTTTAGTGTATTTGGTACAGGGTCTAACTACATAGATTGGACTCGTAGTGATTCTCCTGTTTTCAGCCTCCCAGGTGCTGAAATTACAGGTGCGCACCACCACACCCAGTCTCAATCACCATCTTGGTGCACACTGGGGGCGGAGCCAGCATGACACACCAGGGATCAAACCCCAGCCGCTGTGCTCTGCCTAAGCAGGCTCTTTAGTCCACTGAGCTATCTGGCTGGCCCTTTACTCTGTCCCTTCTGCTGTGCTGTTCCTGTCAGGCAGACCCAGTGACAATCTTGTCACTCTGCATTGCCCTGATAGGCAGTATCCCAAGCTAGTTACTGTGTCTCTGTGGTGGACGTGATAGCTGGGAGGTCTGCCAGCTATGTCCAGATGGGCAAGTGCTGCCCACAGCCACTGTGCTCACCTAACAGCCAGCGAGGTCCACATACCAGCTCAGAGGGGTCACTGGAAGGGGCAGCATTGTCACAGGAGCCAAGTTCTAGAGGGGCCATAGTAACGGTGGTTCTTCTCTGGGCCAGAGCTGACAGATACTTGAGTACTTGTGGGTTGCTCATAAAATCTGGGCATCCCATCTTCCAGGTTCTGCTGCCAGTGGTCCCACCCCTTCCCAGGCATGTACCTTGGGGCAGTGGCCTGCATATTCCCTGTCTGCTGTCCCCAGGTCCTAAGCTCTGAGCTGGGTTCCCAGCATCCAAGCCCAGGACTGGGGCAGGACGCTATCTGCTTCCTGGTCTTTTTATTTTTCTGTATTTTAGGGAAGGATCTACAGGGTGTTCAGGGTCTCACTACTAGATTGGACTTGTAGTGATCCTCCTGTTTACAGGCTCCCAAGAACTCAGATTACAGGCATGTGCCACCAAGCCCAGTCTCAACTGTCTTATTGTGCCCCAGGGGCAGGGCTGGCATGGCAGGCCTGGGGATCAAACCCCGGCCCCTGCATCTGCTTGCAGGTGCTTTAATTTACTGAGCTGTTTGGCTGGCCCTTGCTTCCTGGTCTTGACTGACCCTGCACAGTGGCCTCTAGCACCAGCCCTTGTCCCCAGTCTCTCCTGCCATGGGCAGTGAGCTTGAATTGTGTGTTCCATTGGGGGGCTCTGGGACCCTAACAAGGCTTACCGAGGTATGCTTCACTCCAAGACCCCGCTCCTCCGTGTTCCCACACCCTTGTGGCTGTGTTACTTCCACATTAGGGCCACATTCCCCTCTGTGATCCAGGAGTGGCACTGGCATTTTTGCCACCTGCAGACAGCCAGGCCTTCCAGCGTGGATGCATGGGGACCCAGACACCGTGGGAGCAGTTGGCATCATCCCCTCCTGCCTGCAGCCCAGGCATGGCGCCCATCCTACCACCCCTGCCATGTAGGAGGGGCCTTGGAGAGGATGGGTTTCACTTGGTCTCTGGGTAGGTGCCCCCTGTGCTCCCATCAGATACTGATGCCCACGCTTCCTTCACTGCTTCCCCTCTCACCTCGTGGACTCATCCTAGCCACTGACAGGGCTCTTCAGGGCCTTGTTTCCCAGGTGGGGCGATGACAGTATGCGCAGGGGTGGAGCTGCCAGAGCAGTTGGTTTGCTGTTTCTTGTGGTTGGGCACTGGGAATGGAGCCTGGGGCCTCGTGTACAGAGGGCACTGGAGTCCATAAAGCAGCTCCTTCAGCTTTGGCTTGGGAACTGGTGAGGACATGGCCAGAAGCAGTGGGAGATTGGAGTGGATCTGTCAGGGAGCAAGATGGGCAGTGGTGGTGCTGGTGCTCATGTCTGAGGAGCCTTGTCGGAGCTGTGGCCTTTTTATCTTGTTTGGCTTTTGGTCATACTGGGGCTTGAACCAGGGTCATCACACTGAGCTACACCCCCAACCCTTACTTATTTTTTAGAGACAAGTTTTCATTAAGTTATTCAGACTAGGCCCAAACTTGTGACCCCCCCAACCCCCCCAACCCTCCCCCCCCCCCCGCTTCAGCCTTCTAGAGTGCAGGGGTAGTAGGCACACGCCGTCACCCTCAGCAGGGCTCCAGATTTTAAGGCAGAAGGTACAGGGCAGGTCTGGGGCACTCTCACTGGGGCTTAGTTGTTGGGGAACCTGGCTGTGAGTTTGCTCTCAGGACCCTACCCTGCTGGGGCCTTGCTCAGGGACTGTGCCCTCCTTTTGCTCCCTGGGTCCCACCTTCCCGTGTGCCACTCATACACACTGGCTGCTTCCTGCTGGGGCCACTAGAGAGCCAGGCAGGAACCTGGGTCAGTGTCTTGTGGGCACCTGAACCCCCAGCCTTCCATAGCTGAGGTCACTGGGGAGTCTCCTGGGGATTCTTCTGTCCTGGGTGCCTCTTGTTCCCGGTACAGTGCCACATGGACTCTGGTCAGCTGGCTTTGGGGCCTCCTCTCTGCCCTCAGCCACCCAAGCCTCTCCCACATAGTTGGGTCCCCATCCTTTCCTCTAGGCAGAATGCTTCTCTAGCTGTGTGGGGCTCTGCACACAGGAGAGCCATCCAGCCCAAGCCACTTTCCTCAAAAAGTACCACCACCTTCCACAGGGCCATATACCCAACTTTGTCCATCAGAGGTACTTTTGGTACCTCTGATCTGTCCTGCCAGTCAGTGCCTGTGGAGACAGGTAGTGCTTACAAAGGGGTCCGGGACAGAAGTATTGCCTGCCGTGCTTAGGCTTTCAGAGATCTTTTGGGAATATTTACCTGCTGTGTGGTGGACCTGCAGTTTGGCCCCATGGAGCTTGCAGCATCTTGACTTTTGCCTCTGTCTCTCTACAGCTGAGTGCCCTGAGATTTGAGACAGTGGAACCCGTCAGCAGAATGTCTCCTCTCCTGGCAAGCGACCCTCAGGCCACCAAGATGTGCACCACCTCCAGGCCCACGCAAGCGCGCTCAACGCACTAGCTGGAGGCGCGAGGCCGCAGGGCCACAGGGCCACGATGGTGTGCTAGACAGTGGCAAACTCGGCTTTCACAGACTTGGGACCTGCAGGTGCAGAGCCACCGTGGAGAGGCCAGGGTATCACAAACTGATGGATTTTGACAAGAAAGGAGGGAAAGGGGAGCTGGAAGAGGGCCGGAGGATGTCCAAGACTGGCGGGGGCCGCAGTGGCCACAGCGTTCGGAGCTCGGGGACCAGCTCGGGGGTCCTAATGGTGGGCCCCAACTTCCGAGTCGGCAAGAAGATAGGCTGTGGCAACTTCGGGGAGCTCCGCTTAGGTGAGCCCAGCGTGGGCTGGCGGGTAACTGGAAGGCCACTGGGGTGCTTATGGGAGGGGGGTCCCCAGTCTGCTGAAGTGTTGCTGGGCACCCCTTGGCTTATTGGAGATCATGAGGCCAGCTGGACTTTCTCCTGTTTGAGGAGGGCGTATATTTATTTGCTTTGCAGTACTGGGGATGGAACCCAGGGCCTTCATGCTGAGCTGCATCCCCAGCCCTCTTTTTGAGTCAAGGTGTGGCTAAGTTGCCCAGACTGGGCTGGAACTTTCGATCCTCCCCCTTCCAGCGTGTGGGGTGATAGGTATGCACTACTGCACTCAGCTCTGAAGAGGCTGTGAGCCAGGTTCCCTCCTCCTGGGCATATCTGTGTCATCAGCGAGGGGCTCAGCAGTTAGCAGAGGGGCGCAGAGTGGCTTTCCTTCTGCAAAGGAGCTCAGCACTCAGTGCGCTCAGAGCTCCCAGGGCATCCGCGGAAGCGTGGGAGGCTGCTAGCCTATTACTGAGATGCTTGCAGGCCAGTGTTTTGATGATCAGCATCTAGTGGTGGGGCGCTCTTTTATCTGTGCAGAAGATCTGGGTCTGATCTGTGACTGCCTGGGAGGCCTGGTGTCCCTAGCCTTGTCCCCAGGCTCACTGCAGACTCCGGCAGCCCTGCGTGAGCTATCTGGCTGGAGGCACAAGGCAGCTGGCCTTACCACTGGGGCATGTCAGAGATCCAGGTGACAAGCTGTGCTGCACACCAGTGTCTGTCATGGAGTTAGGGACAGCAAGAAGCTTCATGTACATCCCATGCTGGGGATGCCAGCATCAGTCCTTCAGCCCCCAACTCAGGTTGTCAGATAAGGAAACAGGCTCAGGCCATGGACCTGGCCTGGCTACGTGGCCCCTAAACTTAGCTCCCTGCCCCCCATGCGCTGCAGCTGCATCCAAGCCCCTCCCACTTATTTCCTCCTGTTCATGGGGTATGTGACAAGTCCCCTCATGAGAGGCAGTGTGTGGCCCAACCTTCAACTGGCGTAAATGTTTTTTTTTTTCTTTTTTGCGGAACTGGGAATTGAACTCAGGCAAGTGCTTGTTCTACTGAGCCATCTCACCAGCCCCTGAGCCATCTCCCCAGCCCCCAACTGGTGTAAATGTTTTACTTCTGGACTTGGCACCCCATTGTCCCTTACCCCCAGCAGGCATGTGTTGGTCTGACTGGTGTTGCCTGCACGTTCTCTTCAGCTGCATGGTCTCCTCACTTTGAGCTGCTTCTCCTTGAGTATACATACATGTGTGCACACAGATGTGTATGTACCTCATGCTCACACAGCTCCACATGCACCTGCAGTTGCAGACAGGTACACATGCACAGCATCTTCATCTGGCCAGCAGAGGGGGGGGGTTCTGTGCCTCTTGGGGGACCCCAGGTCACTGTGGGTCCTGTCTGGGGCAGAGGTGAGGCAGTACAGGTGCCACCCAAGGAGGTGTGTGGGGCAGCTGTGTGGCCATGGTGGGTTCTGCTTCACAAACTTCTCTGACTATGCTTTGTGCAGCTCAGTCTAGTCACTGGCTCAGCATTGTCTGAGAGCAGTGGACCCATGTCACATGTCCCTGTCACCAGCTGGAAGTAAGCCACCGGTGGCATGCACCCCATCTCACTTCTACTGCAGAGCCTCTGCTTCCCAGTATGGTCTCTTAGTAGTGGAACTGCCCAGATGTCCAGGAGGGAACAGTCTGGGTGCGAGTGACTTGGTGATAGCTCAAGTCCCTGAGTCATTATGTATGTGGAAGGAGCTGAGAGTCCCATTGCCACTGCCGCCACCTCAGAGCTTTGCAGGAAGTAGTTTGGGCTGTTCCTGTCCTCACCAGCGCTGTAGATATACAAAGTAGGGGACATTGGTAGTGAGTGCATCCTTAGTTGAAGGGTGGCCCTTGCTTGCATCCCCAGATGGTAGCTCTGGGGGCTCTAGGGGCTTCTCATGAGACATCCATGACAGGTGGCAAGGGAGGGTGACAAAGCAGGACGATCCTCTGATAATAACATAGATTCTTCCCTGAAGGTGATAACCTACCTTGAGGCCTGGGGACACCCCCAAGCCCCAGCACTGTTTTGAATGCCAGTTTCCTGGAGCTGCAGGTATAACCCAGGGCTGAGTGCTTACCTAGTACATGCAGAGGCCCTTGGTTCCATTCCGAGCACCATCAAAACAATTAAGATGTAAGCACCAGTATCAGAACCCCTGTGCCCAGATCCCATTCTTGCTACCAGTTGTATGTTCATCCTTTCCCGTGGGTCTTGTCTCAGTTACTTTTCTCTTATTGCTGGGACAGAACACCTGACACCTAAAAGTAAGGAAAGAAAGTTTTTCTTTAGCTTACCATTTGTGAAGGTTTCAGTTTGTGCTTGGCTGACTCCAAGGCAGAGTGGCATATGGCACAGGGCTGCAGTTCATTGCGGTGGAAAAGAGAACAGCAAGACCAAAAAGGAAAGCAGGGGCAGAGACCAGGCCTTTCCCTTCCTTATGTTGCCCTCGGCCTCTCCGAGACCCCAGTGGGGGCGCAGCACTCACACTGATAATCCCAGCATTGGATCACGAGTTAATCACAATCTCTAGAAACCACAAACCACGTAGGGATCCATTGGTCTCAGTCAGATCAGTTCTACCTGGGGAGAAGTGGTGGCAGGAATGCAAAAAGATAGATAAGAAGACAGAAGCAGAGCTATGTGGTCGCTGGTCTGCGTGGTAGGCAAGACAAACCCACAACAGAACCGACTTTTATACCATTGCAAGGTTAATAACCCCTCATACAAGGTTGCCTAGAGACCACTAGCTGACCTTAACCAGACAGGATGTTTATCTCAGGACTAAGGTAGCTTGTCTGCTTTAGGCACTGAGGCCTAGACCTATCTACACACATTGGATCCCCCCTAGCTTCCAGTCTCCCAACAAAAGTGTAACAGATCTAGTAGTTTTACTCTGTGCTGGGCTGGGGGGTGCTATGTGTTTCACTGGGAGTGAATTCCATCGTCTTTCAGAGCTGGGGGTCATGTTGGGTGCTGGTCACTTGATTGTTCACCTCTGCAGGGTTGGATGGCCCCCTTGTGAACTATGGGCTCTGGGGTCTGGGCTGGGTCTTGGGAGTTTGGGAGTGGTCCCTGCTGTGAGAGCTGGGCCTCAGTCCTCCAGCCTGTGTCCTGCAAGGGTGTGACACCTAGGACCACCCCAGGGACCCTCATGCAATCCCAGAGCTAGAGCACTGAGCTCCTCCTCCCAGGTCCTGCATCCAGGGAGAGGTCAGACCCCTGCACACAGCCACATGGCCCCAAGGCATTGCTGAGGGCTCACACACAGCCCACTACACTGGCAGCACCAGGACTGATCTGCAGAACACAGAGGAAGTCCCTGGAGGCCAGAGCTGCCAGGGAGGTAGCATTGCAGGGCACAGGGCAGCCACAGCCCAGACACCTGAGGGCATCTGATTAGAGAAGCTGTGGCTTCCGGGTCCTCTACACTGGAAAGCAAACCGCCAGATGACAAACAGGCAGAAGACCTGAGCAGATTCATTTCAAAAGACAGAGACATGGCCAGAGAAAGAGAGCGATGCCACCTGCCACCAGTCATCCTCTGTGAGTGGCCACCATGGCCCTCCAGCATCCCCAAGAGGGTTTCCTGCTTGATTCCCAGAGTCCCACACTAGAAAGAGCCCAGGTATCTTCCAATGGATTCGACAAGTCAGGTCACCTGTGAAATGGCACACACAGGACAGAAACCAATCTCAGGCCTTCTGAAGGGAGCAGCCCACAGGGGACATGGGAAGGGGCTTCCCAGAGAGCAGCGCGGTGCCAAAACTCACAGACCCTTACCTTCCCAGGGAAGCAAGGACTGGCATAGTTGAGGGAGAATGCCCCTAAAAGGGAGGCAGCCAGAGTGGCACACACAGGTCCAGGGCACTTGTCCTGTACTCTTGTCTGGGTGCTGCTCCCTTCTGCCCTGCACCCTGGGCTAGGTCTGGAGCTAGGCCTGTGAAAGGTGGGCACCTTGGTACTCATCTTACTCAGCATTATTCTGTGCGCTCAAGACATCACTTTTTCCAGTCCTGAAGACCATGGAGGACTTGACCAGCTGATGGCCAGCTGTGGGTGGGCACTCTGTCCTACAGGGCTGAACTCAGCAAGGCCAGGGGGAGCCACAGCAAGGCAGCTTGGGTGCATCCAGGCCGAGGAACTCATGACTGTGGTCTCAGCCAGCAGGATTTGATCTTGTTTGGGCAGGTGTCCAAGGCAGCTGTCGGAGGATATGGCTCCTGGAGCCTGGGTGTCGGGCAGTGCCCACAAACACAGTAGGGTTGCATAGGGCAGGCAGGCAGGCCTGATGTGGTCACTGGGGCGGGGAGACTACAGATGGCCTGCCCATGCTGACATCTTGGGTGGACAGGCAGAGGCGACTGGGTCTGCATGTGGACTGTGCAGGATGAACAAATATGAATGAGCCTGAGGGTCCAGGTGAGGTTCCTGCACTGATCTGCAGAGCGCTCTGGGCCCCTGCGGCAGGTCACACCTACCTACCTCACTGGGCCCAGGAAGCACAAGTGGCCAGGTCACAGTGTGCAGGGCCGGGAGTGGGGGAGAGGTGCCATCCCCACTGCCAGGGTGCAGCTCCCTGTCCAGTTCTGTGGCATAAGCTGGGAGCTTAGCTGAGGGCTCCTGTGTAGAAGTGGCTTTTGGGGTACAAGTGTGGGGCAAGACAGGCTGCCATCTTTTGAGAGACTGGTGTTCCCCAGGTACTAGCAGGGGTCCACATTCTGCTCACTGTATGGCTGGGGAGGAGGGTTGACTGAGGTAGCTGGGCCCTGTGGTCCTGAATGCCTCTCTATCCCCACAGGAAAGAATCTCTATACAAACGAGTATGTGGCTATTAAACTGGTGAGTGGGTCCTCCCTTCACCCTCCCGCGGGTCCCGGGGCGGGCTCTGAGGGCGAGGGTAAGCAAGTGCGTGTTTACAGGAGCCCATCAAGTCCCGGGCCCCGCAGCTGCACCTGGAGTACCGATACTACAAGCAGCTTAGCGCCGCAGGTACTGGAGGACCCGCCTGGGTCGGCCTGTCCAGGGGGCCGGGTGGGCTGGTGTTGCGGGGAGGGGTCCAGCTAGAGTCTCTGGCTCCACCCGCAGAGGGCGTCCCTCAGGTCTACTACTTCGGCCCTTGCGGGAAGTACAACGCCATGGTGTTGGAGCTGCTGGGGCCCAGCCTAGAGGACCTGTTCGACCTGTGCGACCGCACCTTCACGCTGAAGACGGTGCTCATGATCGCCATCCAGCTGGTACGCGGCGCCGGGAGGGTATGGCCTGGAAGGAGGAGCCCGCAGCGGGTGGGGCCTTCCCGCCGGCCTGGGTGCCCTGTCTGCTGAGGCCTGGGCCCTCCGCAGATCACACGCATGGAGTATGTGCACACCAAGAGCCTCATCTACCGGGACGTGAAGCCTGAAAACTTTCTAGTGGGGCGTCCGGGCACCAAGCGGCAGCATGCTATCCACATCATTGACTTCGGGCTGGCCAAGGAATACATCGACCCCGAGACCAAGAAGCACATCCCGTACCGGGAGCACAAGAGCCTCACGGGCACTGCGCGCTACATGAGCATCAACACACATCTGGGCAAGGGTGAGCTGCATGTGCAGACGGAGTGGGTAGGCTGAGGGGCACGGGCCGTGCTGAGCCACTGTCCCTGCTGCTGTCCCCACAGAACAGAGCCGCCGCGACGACCTGGAGGCACTAGGCCACATGTTCATGTACTTCCTTCGTGGCAGCCTACCCTGGCAGGGACTCAAGGTGGGTGGGGATAAGGGGGATGGAACGGGATGGTGGCCAAGAGGACACAGTTGGCCACTTACCTGTGCCCTGTTTCTCCAGGCCGACACACTCAAGGAGCGGTACCAGAAGATTGGGGACACCAAGCGTGCCACGCCCATCGAGGTGCTGTGTGAAAGCTTCCCAGGTGTGGTTCTTTTTTTTTTTAGTGGTACTGAGGACCTTCCACTTGCCGAGCAGGCACTTAATGCCATTGAGCTATCTCCCGGCCCAGGTGTGGTTCTTGTCTGCCATGTCTATGACACTGTGGTGTCTGCTCGCCCCCTCCCCACGTCTCAGACCCTGTGGTGTCCCCTGTAACCCTACCCCCACTTCTGCTGTCCTCTTCTGCAGAGGAGATGGCCACCTACCTGCGATATGTGCGGCGCCTGGACTTCTTTGAGAAGCCGGACTATGACTACCTTCGGAAGCTCTTCACTGACCTGTTTGACCGGAGCGGTTTCGTGTTCGACTATGAGTATGACTGGGCCGGAAAACCCCTGGTATGCCGGCCTGGGGGGGGTGATGTTAAGGTGGGAGGTGTGAGTGGAGACCCCGGCAGCAGGTGGGGGGTTGGGGTGTCTGGGTGGGGCTTCAGAAAGGTCCAGAACCAGCCATGCTGATGCCTGCTGGCTCCACAGCCCACGCCTATTGGCACCGTGCACTCCGACCTGCCCTCCCAGCCCCCGCACCGGGACAAAGTACAGCCCCACAGCAAAAACCAGGTGAGGTTGAGGCAGGACCCCACACCCCAGGGTGCGGGGCAGCTGGTCTGATTCCCACTGACCCTTCTCTACTGCTGGTCCAGGCGCTGAACTCCACCAATGGAGAGCTAAACGCAGACGACCCCACTGCAGGGCATTCCAATGCTCCCATCACAGCCCCGGCAGAGGTTGAGGTGGCTGACGACACCAAGTAAGGGCCCTAGGCAGGCCTCTGGGAACAAGGGGTCAGCTGTCGGGGAGGGGGTCAGCATGGCCTGTTGCCCTGCACCCAGCCCCCACCCACCTGAGCTGCCCTCACAGGTGCTGCTGTTTCTTCAAGAGGAGGAAGAGAAAATCACTACAGCGGCACAAGTGACCAGGCGCTTTTGGCGCATGACTGTCCTCAATGCTGCCCTCAGGCCAGCTTGTCCTTGAGGCCATGGGCCACCCACAGGCCAGCCAGTGACATGCCACAGCCCAAGTCAGACTGCAGGGCCACCTGGCCTGGATGTGGGTCCCTTCCTTCACGTAAGACTTTGGCCGAAATTTCTACACCTGTGTCTAGTCCTCCCCTCTGAGAGCATTAACTATTTAACAAGGAACAAAGGAAACCCAGAGGCCCGCTGCCCTCCCCGTCTGCCGAGTGAGTAGTGAGACTGGGCCAGGTGCCGCCACCGCCGCCCTTTAGCCTCATAAAGTCCAGCTTGTCTCCCTTGATCCAAAGGCCGTTTCCTCGAGGGGGGCAGGTCCAGCCCGGGAGGGGCATCTGCTGAGCTGGTTGCCCAGGAGGGGGCTCTGGCGCTGCTGTGGGGTGAGGCCAGCTCTGGTCCAACCCCAGACCAAAGGGGAAGGCGGGGACGGGGCGCAGTCTGGCTGGAGCCAGCCCCCCAACCAAAATGCTGCACCAAAGCTCGGCCCGAGCGCAGCCCTGCGCCGGAAGGTGCACCTGCTCCCGGAGACACCCCAACCCCTGGGGTAGGCATCAGCCCTGGGCCGTCTGGGCCCTTGAGGCTGAGGCTTCTGGTCTCCGTGCTGCACAGCCGCAGGAGACGAATCGCCTTAAAGCCCTGCGCCCCACAGGTGTTGCTGGCGGGGTGGCCGCAGAGCAGGTGGTGACCCCTTGCGGGTCCAGGAAGCTGCTGGGTGGGCAAGGCGCCCCCCTCCAGGGTGGTGGTCATTCAGGCGTAGTTCTTGCTTTACAAAGTGTACAGAAATGGCATTTACGTTTCTCTGACGCTTCCTTGAAGCCATAGAATTTAGGGGCTTTTTTAAGAAAATAAAAAAAAATAAAAATTACTCTTGAGTGGTGGCATCTGTTTCTTTGTTTGTTTTGTTTTTTAAAAAGCCATGGCCCAGAGCAGTCAGAGACCTGGGGGAATGCAAGGCCCCTCCAAGGTCTTTAGGGGCAGACCAAGGGGAAGCATAGGAGCCAGGTTGACAGCACAGAAAGTAAGCTACCTTGAAAAACATGCAAAGGGGAGCAGACAGACATGTGGCCGAAGGACAGGCGCCCCAGCCCCCGCATGGCTTGAGTGTCAGGCTCCGCTGTGCTCCACAGCTTCCACAGAGAAAAAGCTTCTCCATGGACTAAGGAGCAGGGTGGAAAAGCAGCAGCAGTCGCAAAACATGGGTGGGCCCCTGGTTTCTTCCTGACTACAGGGAGTTAGGAGGCAAAGTGGAGGCCAGTGAAACAGGACACTGTTCTGTCCTTCAGGGAGGTAAGAGCATTCCAGCCCAGCCTGGGCACCTGAGGCCACAGGACCTGGTGGGGTGGGGAACACTCAGGAATGGAGCTTGAAGGCAGGGCCAAGGCTGGAGAGCCAGTGCGCCCAAGTGTGGTGATGAAGTAGAAGCAGTGCAGAAGGTGGACGAGCCAGCCGGGGGCGCTGGTGCATGCCTACAATACCAGCACCGGGGAGGCTGAGGCAAGATTGCCACAGGTTCAAGGACAGCCTTCACCCTGTTTGAAAAAAAAGATGGGCAAGCCATTGGGAGTGTGTGCTGGACACTCGTACGCCACCATGCATGGAAGGGCATAGTGGGCCTGTCCGTGATTAAGGCTATGAGGATGGGTGGGAAGGCCAGTTACAGGTGAGCTCTACTGTGTCACACTGGAGCCAGCGAGTGTGCCTGAACTGGTTTTAATACATGTGGAAAATTCAGGAGAGAGCACATGTATGCGTGTGTGAGGACTAGTTACAAATATTTCCATTTTTCCCTTTTTTGTGTTATTTCTACATCTTGTAAGTCCATAGTTCCCACTATTGAATTTATCCTATAGTTTTTAAAATGCATTCTATGGACTGGATGTGTTGGCACACACCTGCTGGCCGAGCCACACAGGACACTGAGGCAGGGGGATCACAGGCTGAAGCCCAGCTGGGACAACTCGTGGAGACCATCTCAGAATGAGAGGGTGCAGACGGGGCACCCTCCGCGGTGAGCGCCTGCCTGGCACGCGTGAGCTGGGCACCGTCCTACAGGATGCTCTGCTTCCCGTGAGCACGTCCTTCACGGCAGCAGTGCAGCTGTGTTGGAGACCTTTACCTTGCTGTCACTAATTGAAAGGATGTTTTGCCGGGAATGAAACTTTATGTTTTTGTTTTTTTTTTTTTTTTTTTTTTTTGCTTTTTGGTATTTCAAATATTCTTTCTGTTGAGAAATCAGTTTTCATCAGTCACTCGTTTTCTTCAAAATAATAGACCTCTTTGATTTTCTTTTTTGGTGGTGCTAGAGATTCAACCCAGGGCCTTTTCACTGAGCTATATTCCCAGCCTCTTTTTTCTTTTTCAAAGTCTCATTATGCAGTTCAGGCTGGCTTCGAGCGCACTAAACTTGTACTCAGGGGCTGGAGAGATGGCTCAGTGGTCTAAAGCACCTACCTGGAACAAGCTTGGCAAAGCACAGGGACCGCAGTTCAATCCTCCAGCACCACATGCCAGCCAGCCACGCCCCCTGGTGGGCTGAGCTGGCCACACACACACACACACACACACAATAAATGTTAAAATAAAATAAATAAATAAACTTGTACTCACAATGATGCTCCTGCCTCAGCCTCCCAAGTGCTAGGATTACAGACTTGTGCCACCACCACGCCTGGCTTTTTTACTTCGCAAATCTTGGTAAATTGCACTGCCCGGGTAGAACTTAAATTTGGCAAACCTCCTGCCTCAGCCTCCTAGAGCGCTAGAACAACAGGCATGTGTCATTGCACCTGGCTGTCGGCTTTTCAGTTTTTCATGGGCTGGGATGTCACTGGTAGCAGAGCAATTGTTTTCTTTTTTTGCCTTTATATGGTCTGCCATTTCCTGAGCTTATTGGATCTGTGGAGTGGTGTCTTTCATCACTTAAAAAATGTCACTTATTAGTTCCCAAGACCTTTCTTCTGTCCTAGGACCTCAGTTCTCGTATGCAGGGACATTCATTATGTATTTGCTAGAGGGTCTCCCCAGTTCAGACTCATAGTGATCCTCCTGGTTCAGCCTCCCCAGCGCTGGGATCACAGGCCTGCGCCACCACACCAGCCTTGGTGTTGGCTTAGCACACCCAGGGGCAGGGCCAGCATGGCCTGTGATGCTGGGGATCGAACTCAGGTCCTTGTGCTTGCCTAGGCAGGTGCTTAGTCTGCTGAGCTATCTTCATAGCCCTCTACCTTTTTTTAGTTTGGACACTGTTTCAACATCTTAAACCTCTCACATGTTTTGCCTACTTTTTAGCCATCTACTTTTTTAGTTTTTTGCTTTAATGTATTTGGTTGTTACAGGGTCGCACTACCCAGCTCCGACTCACAGTGATCTTCCTGTTTTCAGCCTCCCCAGCGCTGGGATTACAAGCATAGGACTCTGTGGCCAGCTCAGCCCACCTTGGGCTCAGCCCACCACCATGCACAGCATGTGGTGCAGGGGATCAAACTGTAGTCCCTGAGCTACCTCGCCAGCCCCTTTGTTTCTTTTTGCAGTGGCACATACCAGTTATCCTAGCACTCTAGGAGGCAGAGGCCACTGGCATCCGTGTTTTGAGCTCAGCCTATGCAACTTCATAAGCCCCTTCGAGGATGTGATGTAGTTCAATGAAGGCCCTGGGTTTGTCCCCATTGTCCCCACCCCAAAGGTGCTTAGCCCAAGGCCTTAGCTCCATGCAGTGGGCCCCCCTGTTGGTGTGCTGCTGGCTCATGGTTGTCTCTGTGTGCTGGATGCTACGCAGAGCTGCTGGGTAATGCCTAACCAGATAGGTGCACCGGGGGCACAAGGGCCTGATGGGCACTCTTCAGGAGTTGAGGTCACCCACTAGGCAGTAACACATGGCCTCAGCTTACCTCAGACCCTGACTTCCCAGTGCTAGAAGACAGCAGGAAGCTTTGCCCTGCACTCCTGGCCCAACCTTTCTGATCTCTAAACACATTTCTGCAAAGGACACATGCCAGCCTGGGAGCCTCTGCCTGTGCCTGCAGCACAGCCTAGCATCTGCTCACCTCAGAGCACCGTCCTCTGCAAGTCAAGCCTCGGGGTTTGTCTCCCACGAATCTGTTTTCTTCAGTACTGGGGATTGAATCCAATTCCTTTGCACTAAACTATATTCTCACCCTCCTCAATTTGGTCGTACTTAGACCAGGGTCTTGCTATGCAGTTCAGACTGGCCTTGAGCTCACTTTGTAGCCCAGGCTGATCTTGCATGCACAGTGAATCCTCTTGCCTCAGCCTCCCAAGTACTGGGCATGTACCACCATGCCCAGTTCCCTACCCTTTTTTTGGGGGGGGGGCAGAACCGGGAATTGAACTCGGGCCCTTGCGCTTGCTGAGTCATCATCCTGGCCCCTCCCAGCCTTTTTGAAACAGTGCCTTACTAAATTGCACAGGCTGTACTTGAACTTGCAGCCTTCCTGTCTCAGCATCCCAGAGTGCCAGGACGACAGGCATGTGCTACTACACCCAGCACTTTCACCGTCTTGAATATTTTTCCTATTAACGCCAATTTCTCAGATGGGCTGCAGACCTCTACATCTTTGCTGTGGTCCACACAGAACCTGGGCCTTACACGACACACAAGCACCACGACAGGCTCTAGGCTGCCCTGGCTGGCTTTAGAACTGTAGTTTTCCTGCCTCAGCCCATGCGGCTGGAGTACCAGGTACTCGCCAGGGGACCCAGCGCTGCACTCTTGCTGGCCCAGTTTGCCAGAGTTCTGTGCAGCGTTCACTTCACGTTGGGGATGCAACTGATGCCTGTGCCGGTGCCAGAGCCCAGTCACTCGCTGCTGCCTGCAGGAGCTGGGCACCTGCAGCTCCCCTTAGACCTCCTCCAAGACTCTTAGAACACTGCCTTCTGGCCATGTCCCTAACCTAGGGTGCCACCATCAAGCTAGCACCTTGTAGACTCAGCCCCAGGTGGCTTCCCAGCCTCTGTGCAGCTTGTCACCACCTGGGCTCAGTGGTGCCAGGTGAGGCACAAATGCAGCAGCTCAGGGCCAGTGCATTTCTTTCCTTTATTTAAAAAATGATGCGGTGTGAGGCCACACCTTTCATGGCTTCAGGGAGGACGCAGGTTCCAGGGGAGTCACTGGGGCAGACACATGGGTGCTTGGGGTGTCGAGCTGGGGCTACAGTATGTACAGGGGGCGGGCAGCGCCTCTGGAACTTGCACCAGGCCAGCTGGGGTCCTGCCCCATCTTGGGGGGCAGCCTCCAGTTTTCTCCCTCCAGGCACACGGGGTTAGGACCCTGCTTAGCTGCAGGGGCTGCACGAGGCAACTGTCTAGAGAAGACAGTGACGGCCTCGCTGGCCCACAAGGAGGGCCAGGACAGAAGCAGCAAACTGTTACCTGTTACCTGGACGGGCTGCCCTTGCGGACATCACTGTGGCTCAAGCCCCACCAGAGTCCCACGGTCCTATCTCCAGTGTCACGGGGGGGGGGACACACTGCAGGTCGGGGTGGCCCCAAATACATGGCTGACCAAGCCCCAGCGCCCCCAGTGAGCAGACAAGAACGAAAGACCCCAATCAGCACCCGTGGGACCCCTTACCCGGGCTTCTGAGCTCAGAAAGGGGCCTGAGGCATTGCATGTGCACTCGACAGACGGGAGACGGCACCGCTCAATCCGCCTGGGTGAGTGGCTGCCAGCCCTGAGCTGCAGGGACAGTGGGACAGCCACCCCCATGGGCCTGCCACCCTTGGCCCAGGATAGGCCTCCTGGTGGAGGTACTACCTTTGCCCTGCCCAGCCCATGGTGTTTGAGGGATTGTCTCATGGCCACCCGGGGCTCTGGACGCCAGCCACGCTGTCACCATGGAC